GGGGGGGGAGAGAGAGAGAGAGAGAGAGAGAGAGAGAGAGTTAGTTGGCTAGAAAGCCAGTGTGGCACAGTGGTCAAGGACTAGCACCAGGCTAAACCAGGTTCAAGCCCATCCTACGCTCTACCTACCGCACAGGGTTGGCACTGTGGGAATAAAATGATTCCCATGCAAGCTGCCATGAGCTCTCGGAAGAAGGTTGGGATATAAAGTAGTAAATAAAAATAAGATGGAAGGTTACATGGACATATATCAAATTAATGAGTCTGTGTGCGTGCATAAATAATTAGCATTATTGCTAAATGGATTGGTTGAGATACAATAGCAAATCACAACTGAATATTAAAAGAATAACTGTCAGTGAGATGCTACTGCTTGATCCAGACTATTCTACCTGTGATTGGTTCAAGTGAAGTACAGCTTTTAAAATTCAAACGTTAAGCAGAAACTGTAGTTTATTCAAAACCATAGCTTTTCAACCTCCTTCCTTCATACAATTTATTTATTTATTTAAAATACTTATATAACCACTCATCTTATGCACCATAACCCGGGTTGGCTTACAAACAAAGCAGTATGTAGTAGTTTCTTCAAACAATAAGATTTTTTAAAATAACACAAAGCATATTGTATATTAAGTTCTTTTTTCAGACCTCCCAATTACTTGGAATCTTACAAGTTTTCAGTGATTTCATGCAAGGATGCCAAGGTCATGCAAGGAGGTCAAGTTTCTGGGATCTTAGACATGACATAAATTTCACATAATTCCCAACATTTTAAAAGGATTTAGTTTTAATAAAATTAAAGTTGGGGCTATTGTAGCCAGTTTTGTAGGAGGTAACAGATGCACTGTTTCTCACAGATGCAGTGTTGTCTTCCCCAGCAGCACACATAAGCTACAAACACATTCCAATCACACAGAAGAGAATACACAGCATAGCTGTTTTACATGAAGACAGGTACTACATTCATGTTCCCACATCCTTTGAAACAACTTTTTCAAATCAAAACTAAGGCACTGCAGTGCCCTAATCTGTAGTTCTAAGGAGAGGCCCTCCTATTAGTTGTATTTCAGTAACTACACCATCTGCTTTACCATGACCATTAAGAACATTGGGTCTTCTCAGTTGAGTTGAAAGCCCAGTGGGAAGAGTATTCATGATCAAATTTGTTTCTGCTGACTCAGATGCAGGCAGCAGGAAGCAGTGATCTACTAATTTTATCTAATTTCTGTCTTGATCACTCAAGAACGGGAATTGGCAAACTGTAGCATTTGTTCACATGTTTTAACTCTTTGTGTGGCAATGCAAGGGTGAGCTGTAGTGAGTCTTTGGTTTGCATGTGCTGCCTCTCTTTCTGCTCCAGAGGTTGTTTTGGAGGAGCATGTTCAGAGGTTGTTTGGAGGTGGCTTACCCCTTTGCCATCACCCAGACTGAGAACGTGACTTGGGGTGTTCCTGTGCAGGACTTCAATAGACTTAGCCCCCTAAGAGGTGCTGGGTTTGGACTCTGAAAAAGGAATCTGAACTATTCCCTTTGTGAGAGCCAGGGCTGGGCTTCAAGTCTCCCAGTTTTGTGAGGGCCTCCCTGTCCCTAGTGGGATGTATATGTGTGTGTGCTGGAGGGAGCGGCCATAGGTAATGTACTGTACAAACAGGAAGTAAAATACTCACAGCAGCTTCTAATGAGTAAAGAGATCTTAAGCAAGACCTGTCAAGGAAGCAAAAGGACTCTAGCAAATCCAAGATGCTCTAACACACTCCAAATATCTCATCTGTGGCCGAGACATATCCCTAGAGATATTTCTACATTCATCAAGTTTTCCTTATGGTCTTTTGTCTAGACATAAAATTGTGTCTGTGGAGCCTTTTTCCAGGATTGTGGGGGCACTTTCTCTCTATTGTAACCATACCCATGTATGTAGGAATTAGAATTGTTCTGTTGTCATAAATTTCCAATTCTGCCATACTTTTTGTCAAATGTCTACCTCCTCAAAGTGGGAATAATTTTCTGTGAGTATAATATTCAGAGTAAATTTAATCATCTTCCGTTGAAATTCCCACTGGGGCATCTCTATTACTATATTCAAATTTTGCATCTAGTTGATCATGCAATCGTTAACCTGTTGGGATTCTAAGTCATATTTCACTAATAGTATGTAAATTACACCCAACAGGTGTTTGCCATCCTAAGTTTTGAAATTCAGTCAAATCTCTCAATATTATTTCTGCAATTCTTTTGATGCTATAGTACTACTTATTTGGAAATATTGCAACCAGTCAAGTGGAATAGACTGTTGTGAGATGAGAAACTTGTTTTCAGCCTGTTAATAATGAAATCTTACAATCTAAACAAATAATTGACTTTCCACTGAGCAAATTTCTTAATATTTTCTTCTTCATCTTTTTCAGAGTAATGAAACCTAAAAATAAAACCAACATAAATCAAAGAGATAATGAATATAAATTCATTCATTCACTTTTTAAATATAAATTCTTTTGTTATTTTTAAAAATTCCTCCAAGATGCTTGACTCAAGACAGTTTTATTTATTTTTATTTATTTTCTTTTATCACGGAGCTCATGGCAGTGTATTCCCCCCCCCCCC